CACCCACAACCCTGCTGCTGCTGCTGCTGCTGCTGCTGCTGCTGCTGCTGCTGGTATGCTGCAGGTGCCGCTGCGGCAGCTGCTCGGGCGCGCCGCGGACAGAGGCGCGCGAGCAGCAGCAGCAGCAGCAGCAGCAGGAGCTCACCGCTGGTCTCTAGGATGCGTCGGCGCTGCTCAATGAGGTCCCTGGTTTCCTCGAGGACCTGCGCGATGGTGTCCATACACCTGAAGAAGGGGTCCTGTTCCTTCTCAGCAGCTCTTTCCCTCTCGGGGTCCAGAAGACATTCTTCTTCAATTGTCTTCACCACTTCCAAAAGCTCCTCCAGGCTGCCTCTGGGGGGCCGCGGCCCCGCGCCCTTCTCTCTGCTGCTGCTGCTGCTGCTGCCGGGGGCCCCGGGGGCCCCCAGCCACCGCGCGAGGCCCCCCCGGAGCTCCTCGGCGGGGCCCCCGGACTTCGAGGGACTGCCCAGGGCCTTCGAGGACTTCGAGCGGAGGCCCCGGGCCCCCAAAGAGCCGAGGCTGGGGAGGCTCTCAACATGGGTCTTTCGCTTTCTCTTGGGGTCGAAATTCTGCAGAGACGGCAGCTGCAGCTCCTCCTGCGGCAGCGACGGGAAAACCCCCGGCAAAGACCGCGGCAACATCGCCCCGCCGCTGCAGCAGCGCCGCCCCCGCAGAAGATCTTCACCGCCGCAGCCACTCCATGGGAAGCTGCCCGCCGCTGCTGCTGCAGCAGCTGCAGCAGCTGCAGCAGCTGCGGCAGCTGCGGTGGAGCAACCGAAACTCAGACAGCCACAGGCTGAAAGCCCGCAGTAGACGCGGCCAGCGTACTCCAGAAACCAGAAGACAGACGCAGCAAATGAACGTAACCCAACGCTCTCACAACTCCGCTGCACGGGAACACGCAAACGAAAAAACGCATAAACAGATCCTCCGAATACCACAGAGCTCTCCTGAGCTTCATTTCAAATTCAAAACAGAAACGTTCACCCGCTAATGAGGCTTTGGCGGGCCTTACGCAGCCAACGCTCGAGGCAGACGTGTACGCATGCAACGGACTGCCGACAGCCGCTGCCTCTGTCAACATTGAACGTGTCCACGCATTTCCGCGGCAACTGAGTCCTAAAGAATGATCCTTGAAATATAAAAACGAAATTTACCTCAAAAGGAACAGATAAGCCTCATACAACGACCAGCGCTTGCTGCCTTCCGGGCGCGCCAACCGCGCCCACCAGTGCAAGTCGTGTCTAAATCTCCCTGTGAGCCACAGGGGATAACTGATGTACTTTTGTTCTTTTAAGTGTTTCTGAGATTTTCGACTTTGCTTCACATTGCTTAGCAGGCCCGGAGAGTGTTCTAGGGCTGTTTACGAGCAGGGAGCAGTCACATAATCCCCCAGGATGTGCACGAGCTGCCGCCTGTGGAAAGCACCCCTACTGACAGTAAGTGAAGTTCCGAGGTACGACTAAGAGTTTGTCTTGTAAATAGAGGTATAGTAGAGGGCGCATAGCAGCTGTAGGTAGAGGAACTACTGGCAGGCACACTAGCTCGGCCTGCTCAAGGGCACTTAAAATAAATCAACTTCTCTTGACTGTTAGAAGCCCGTCGGCTGCTCTGGGATTCCCAGTGCAGGTCCCTCGCAAAGGAGCGACTGGGAGCCGACGAAGTACTGCTATATGTAAAATTTTCAGCTAAGTACGCAGCCGCGCACTGTGCTTGCTTGCGATTGCGTTAAGTGTTGCTTGTGTTGTTTCCGTGGGATTGGGCGTGCCCGCCGTGCGTCAGTTGTCGCGTGTGTGTTGCCACCTACGTGGCCTGTTCCTCTTTAGTTCTGTCCCCCACAAGGGAGGGCACTGTGCCAACATCCACCCAAATGTCTATTTCGTCGAGAACTTTCTTCCGTTGGCTGGGCGGCGTGTCTTTGAGCCGGAAGAAGACCCGGCCTTCGCCGTCCTTGTGCTTCTGAAGATACCTTTCTGTGTTGGCGGCGTCGGGCCACCACATCCAGGGGAGGTCTTCTTTCTGGGGAGTCGTTGACGCATGTGTTTGATGAATATGAATTTGAATTTGCATCTGCGCTTGCCTGGGATAAAATTTGAAGCTCAAGCTGGCGATTCGACTGGAACTGTGGAACGAACGCAGGGGTGGTGCCGTCGAACTGAAAAGCCTTTCTGTTTGCTGCGCGCCCTCCATGCTTATTGCCCCTCTGCTGCTGCCCCCCGTAGTGGTGGCGGCCGTACTGATGGTGCTGTCCATGCGGCGGCCGCTGCCACTGGTGCTGCTGCCCTTTACGATAGGGATGCCCAGCTTGTGGGCGCGCGTTGTGGTAAGATGGCTGCCACATGTGCGGTGGCATGTTACCTCGCCCCTGCTGATGGTGGTAGTGGTGCTGCGAGTGGTAGGGTTGCTGGGTGTGGGATCGGTGGCCCGAGTGTATCATGTTGTTCGGGCCGCCCATGCCTACAGCTTGGTGGGGGCCCGGGGGGAGCTGGCCCGGGCCGGGACACGGCATTTCGTCCGGACCTAGAAGTGGCCCGTGGCTCGGGCCGTAGTAGTGCTGGGGCATGTACTGCCCGTTGTTTTGGTCTACGTTGATGTGCTCCGCGCAGTTGTAGGACTGCCCGTTCTCGTAGCGCTCCCAGGCCGGATACTGCAGCGAAGCCAGCACCGCTTGCTCTTGTGGGTCATGCTGCCTTGGCATGTTGGGCGTAGGAGGCTGGAAAGAGTTGTACGTGGAATAGTCATGATGGTTTTCCCGATACAATAGAGGGGGGGCGTTAACTTGCGGCTGATTGTGCGGATGCATCTGCTGATGCGGTGGCATTTGCTGGAACATATGCTGTGACTGGTGGTGAGGGTGAAATAACTGTCCCGTGAAAGGTTGCTGGGGGGCGTGCGGCACGGATTGCGCGTGTCGGAGGCTGTTGTTCGGTTGCTCTGAAAAGTTGTTATTCAGAGGGTTTACTTCCTGGGTTCTGAAGAGCTCTTCAGGAACTCCCTGTCTGGGGTTCAGAAATGTTCAGATTCAGCCACTCGGGCTCGTTTCTGGGCCGCATGCATTTTCACAGACTCACGCGAATTGAGGCGGCGGCGGAAAAAGCGGCTGCCCCGGCTGTCCACGTGTCGACCGATTCAACGGGTTCAAACCCAGGTAGCGAATCTCCTGCGCCGGCGACTGCTGTCTAAAGTATGCTGGCGGGTGTGCTTCATTGTGGCCCTGGGGTGGCAGTAAAGAAGGAAAACGTGGGACTTGGGGTAGTGGTTTACCTGAGTCCTTTGGGGGCTCGAAACGCTTCGGCGCGTTCTTGCATTGCTGCTTTCGCGTTGCCTCATTGTGAAGTTTCTCGTGACGTGACGTGTAGGAAAAGTACCACGTGGGAACAGAATGCGATATTACAAAAAAGCCAATGAACAGACCATCTTGAACTATGGCCAACCCGGTTTTCAAAAACAGGAGACAAAAAAAGATGTGACGAGCTGCCGAGCGCAGGATCAGGCGTCACCCAGAGTTGTACGTACACCCGAGCTGTTCCTGCCGTTGCTCTGTAGCGGTTCTCAAAAAGCCTCTTCACCAGTAGCCACACTCTGTGCGATCTACTTAGAAAAGAAATGCGCACGCGGCTGCTCTCAAGTCGAAACGCCCGAAGCCAAAAGTGCCCGTCTTGGCACTACGCGGCGCTCGCTGCCACGCACCACTACGACTCCTACTACTGCTGCGACAACTGCGGGACAAGAACACTGCTTGTCCTCCGCCGCACAACGCGGGAGGCACTCCGCAGGGGAGTGCGTTGGAGCCCGCGGCTCTCCACGCGAAAGCGTTATTACCTCCGAGATCGCGTGCGACCTTCTTCGTTTCGCGCAGTCGCTGCGACGCCGCCTCGCGGCCGGAAGGTCAGTTGAGTTTCATGTATTGCAAAAATTCGTCCCAGTCAATCTGCGCACAAACCGTTCGAAACAAAACGCCCCTTTTGTAAGTCTCGGAAAGCTGAATCGACTGGAGGCAAGAACGGGAACTTCAGAAACTTCGAAGAACCCCTCCTAACCCCTCACCTGCCCATCGCCGTTCTTGTCGATTTGCGCCACCAGCGACTTGATCGTTTCCTTCGGCACCAGCCGGTAGTCTTCGCCGCCCAGGACAGCTTCGAACTCGGGCACCGATATTTTCCCGTCGCCGTCCTGCACTCGAAAAGTAGTGCAATGCGTCACGGACACACTCTGAACGGTGTGGCACTGCACGGCTCGATCTAGAAAAAGTGTTTAGAACGTGATCGCTGTTAAAAACGTGGTGTGCCCACTTTGTCCATCTTCTGAAATGCTGTCCATATCACATTCAGCTCCGACTCCTTCCATGAGTAACACGCGGCCAAAAATTCTGCAAAACGTGCAGACACACGCATGTGCATGTCCGTGCTCTAAATGGCTCATGTCATAGAAATGCTGAGCAGCTCTTCTCGCCCAGAATTCGATTTACCTGTATACGAAACATTCCCAGAGTCGTCAACGTCGATGGACTGAATGATTCTGTTGATGTCCCACTGTGGAAGGCCCACCTGGGCCAGACCTGAAAGGCGAAATCGGACGTTCTGCAACATGTACATGCATGTCAGGGTGTTTGCCTGTGAATATAATCACTCCTTTTCCTGAAATATTTGTACATAACGCGAAATTGCAATTTCAAAGTGTGTTGTTGAGGTGCACCGGACCTTCGGTGAGTTCGCTGTGGGAGATTGTTCCATCGCCGTCCTTGTCGAGCTGGCGAAATATTTCGTTGATTTGTCGAATTTGAGGTCCAGTGACATTTAGCTGGTGGACCATCAGATTCACAAGTGCGTTCTTGAGATGTGACTGTCGCATGTATTTCTGCAAAGGCAGGCGAATGGCGAGTTGTGTTCATATTGGCATTTGCGCGTCCGCTTTACTTGTCGCTTCTTGTGGACTGTGGTGTCTCTACAGGAGTGCACTGTTTGAGCGGTTCCTGAGAGAGTGTGGGGAGGCGGGGAGGGCGCGAGTGTCTGTTGGTTTCTCACTTTCATGTTTTCGCAAATGATGGGGGAGATGTGGATGTCTTTGAGGTCGGCCTGTTTGAACCAGGGGTGTCTGAGGACTTGGGTGGCCGTTGGTCTTTCGCTTTCGGGTTTGATGAGCATCCACTTTATGAGCGACACGGCCTCGTGCGTCAGGTGCGCGCACTCCCGCGCGTAGTCCGGCTCGCCTGCGGAACAAGCGCGGGGCCGAGGACTGTGGAGCCGCCTCCCAAACGGCAGACGGGCAGCAGCAGCAGCAGCAGCAGCAGCGGCAGCGGGGGGGACAAGGGCAGGTTTGGGGGCAGCGGAGACTTACAGTTGCAGACTTTGTACTTGACTTCGTCGATGCTGGTCCCGCTGAATGGCAGACAGCCCGTCAGCAAGAAGTACATCACGACTCCTGGAGCAGCAGCAGCAGCAGCAGCACAGAACAAGTCGCAGCCATGCATGCAAGTAAATGCGCTTCTGCTGCTGATGAACTGCCCATTTGCGCAAATGCCTCATGTTCATTCGCTGCATGCAAGCTGCGTGCATGCATGCATGCATGCATGCATGCGTGTATGCGTGCATGCATGCACGCGGCGCACCCGCAGACCAGACGTCGCACTTCAGCGAGAGGTGCCGCATGAAGACTTCGGGCGCCATGTAGAGTGCAGTGCCTGAGCAGCAGCAGCAGCAGCAGAGCAGCAGAGAAATAAATCGAATTACTTATCCTTCCTGCTGCTGGCGCAACTGCTGCTGCTGCTGCCTCTGTGGGCGGTCCACCGGCAGTCACATGGCCACTGCCAGACGCAGCTGCTACAGGCGGCTGTGCAACCTCTAAGGCTCTGCTGCTGCTGCTGCTGCTGCTGCTGCTTCTGCTCCTGCTGCTACTGCTGCTCTCTCGGTGGCCCTCGCACTGGGCTCAAGGGTTTTTGCCCACCAGCTGCGTTTTTGCTGTGCGCGTCAGTCTTTTCAAACAGCTCCGCCAGGCCTGTGCAGCAGCAGCAGCAGCAGCAGCACGCAGCAGCAGCAGCAGCACAGCAGCAAGGAGCAGCAGAGCGTCGCGGCTCCTAAGTTCCCTCCAAACCCTAAACTCTAGACCCCAGGCACCGTAAACCCTCGAAACCCTAAACCCTCGAAACCTTGAACCCTCGAAACCCTAAACCCTCGACACCCTAAACCCTAGACTGGCGTTTTAAAAGCTCACCGAAGTCAATAACTTTAATTGGCGAGTCTGGCGACTTGTCCTGAAAAAGAATATTTTCGGGTTTCAAGTCTCTGCAGCACGAAGACGCCGGAGACTTAATTGGAATTAAATAACAAGTCAATTTAAATCAATTTGTCTATTATTTCAATTTAAAAAATTAAATTAAGTTCATTTCTCTACTTCAGTCCACTTGCTGCACTCCCAACAAACGCCCACGCCAGGATCCTGCTGCTGCTGCTGCTGCTGCTGGTTCAGCAGTCTTTGGCACCCCGGTTGCAGCAGCAGCAGCAGCAGCGGGCAGCCGGGCTTGGCAGCACCTGAGCTTGTGAGGGCGGGTGCCGGCCGCGGTGTTAACTTTCGGGTTTAGCGTTGAGGGTTTAGGGTTTAGGGTTTAGGGTTTAGGGTTTGGGACTTGTGGGCGACGTGTTTGGAGTGGAAGTAGGCCAGGGCGTTCATCAGCTGCCGCATAATTAAGCTGACAGCTTTTTCAGTCAAGGCGCTGCCGCGGCTCTGCGCGTCCACCAGCCGCTGCAGCAGCTCCCCTCCCTCGCAGGTCCTACGGCAGCAGCAGCAGCAGCAGCAGCAGCAGCAGCAGCAGCAGCAGCGGTGGACGCCGCCCCACGACTCCAGCCCGCAGCAGGCGCCAGCCCGCCAAGCCCCGCAAACTCCCAGCGAAAACTGACTCAACACCAGCAGCAGCCCCACCACCAGCGCAGCAGCAGCAGCACCGCAGCAGCAGCAGCAGCAAATGAAATACAGCAGCAGCAGCACCACAACCACCACCACCACCACCACGACCACAACCACGACCGCCGCAGCAGCAGCAGCACCACCACCACCACCACGACGACCACCGCAGCAGCGGCAGCACCAGCACCACCACCACCACGACCACCGCAGCAGCAGCAGCAGCAGCAGCAGCAGCAGCAGTGTCGGACTCCATGACGATGTAGACGTTGTGGTAGTCCTCGAAGACCTCGAAGATCTTAATGATGTTGGGATGGTCCAGCGACTTCAAAACTTCGATTTCCGCTTCGATCTGCTCCAGAGGCACTTGGCTCCGGTCCCGGTTTATTGTCTTTATCACGCGCTCCAGCCCGCTGCTGCAGCGCAGCAAAACGCAGCAGCAGCAGCAGCAGCAGCAGCTGCAGCAGCAGCGCCAGCAGAGCAGCAGCAGCAGCAGCAGCAGCAGCAGCAGCAGAGGCAGCAGAAGCAGCAGCAAATGCAGCAGCAAATGCAGCAGTAGCAGCAGCAGAAGCAGCAGCAAAAGCACGAGCAGCAGCAGCAGCAGCAGCAGCAGGAGGCTGTGGGTGCAAAGCTGTTAACCTCTTTTCAATGACTCGGTGCACATCGCCGAAGGAGCCAGAGCCCAACTTCTTGACGAAGGTGAAAAGGTCTGCAGACAAACCAGAAAGCAGCAGCAGCAGCGACAGCAGCAGCAGCAGCAGCAGCAGCAGCAGTTCACAAGGGATCACAACAAATTCAATTCTGCCTTGTGTCCCCGAGAGAGAGGATAGAAGGCAGATCCACGTCTGCGCCATGCAGCAGCAACTGTATAGCTAGCTAGCCAGCTAGCTAGCTATTAATCTACCTAGCTAGCTAGCTAGCTAGCTAGCTGGCTAGGTAGCTAGCTAGCTAGCTAGCTGCACCTGTGATGGCAACGCCAGTGTGCGCCAAGCTGTCCACCGATCTAGCTAGCCAGTTAACTGGCTACCTATCTATCTATCTGGCTAGCGAGCCATTAGTATAGCTAGCTAGCTAGCTAGCTAGCTAGCTAGCTGGCTAGCTAGCTAGCTAGCTAGCTGGCTAGCAAGCAAGCGAGCAAGCAAGCAAGCTAGCTAGGAAGCTAAGTAGG